GTGGGTATGGCAAACACAAACCTGTTCCATGGGAATAAGCATGAGGAGGGTGAAGAACACTGCTGGGCACTTCTGAGGTCCAGAGCACTGCGCTGGGAGGACCTCTCGCCACTGCCCCACGCTCACCCCGCACAGGGACGAGGCACAGGGACGAGGCAATCCATTCATTTAGACAAATATATCCCCAAAGCGTAACGTGGGAGGCAATGCTGCTGGCGAGCCACAGAGCCCGTTTACTTTGCACCAGGGAGTCCTCGGAGGAGCTGTAGAGGGTCTCTGCGGTGGGCAGCAGCGGGAGCATGGCGGGCGGCACAGGGGGGATAACTGCATATGGGTGCACTGGGCTCCTGTAGCCAGGTTTTGCTAGCAGGGGGCTATGTCCAGGTGACTGAAGAAGGAGGGAGAGGAGGTGCTTCAGGTGCCAGAGCAGAGGCTCCCCTGCAGCCTGTGGCAAAGACCGTGGTGCGGCAAGGCAAGTCCCCTGCAGCCCATGGAAGTCTGTGGTGGAACAGATCCACCTGCAGCCTGTGGAGAACCCCATGCCAGAGCAGGTGGGTGTCCAAAGGAGGCTGTGACCCTGTGGGAGGCTCGTTCTGGAGCAGGCTCCTGGCAGGACCTGTGGCCCCATGGAGAGAAGAGCCCACGCTGGAGCAAGTCTGCAGACAGGGCTTGGGACCCTGAGGGGCCCCATGCTGCAGCAGTCTGTCTGGAAGGAGCACTCTCTGTAAATGGATCTGTGCTGGAGCAGTGAGTGAAGAACCAAAGCTCATGGGAAGGACTCACACTGGAGCAGTTAATGGGGCCTGTGTCCCATGGCAGGGACCCCACACTGGAACAGGGGAAGAGCATGAGGATCCTCCCTCTGAGGAGGAAGGAGCGGCAGAGACCAGCTGGAGGCCCCACTGCCCATCCCCTGCACAGCTGATGGGGAGCAGGTAGAGAGCTCAGGAGTGACGTTAAGCCCAGGAAGAAGGGAGAGGTGGGGGCAAGTGTTTTAAGATTTAGTTTTTTTTTTTCTCATTACCCTACTTTGATATGATTGGCAATAGATTAATTTCCCCAAGTCGAGTCTATTTTGCCCATAAGGGCTATTGCTGAGTGATCTCCCTGTCCTTATCTTGACCCATGAACCTTTCACCAGACATCCTCTCCCCGTCCAGCTGAGGAGGGGAGTGATACAGCAGCTGTGGGGGCACCTGGCATCCAGTCAGGGTCAGCCCTCCACGCTGGGAAATGGTTGTCTTTGCCCACTCTGATACGTTTCTCAAAGTAAATTTGTTCTTGGGAACAGTTCTTTGTGAACAGACCTAGACTATGAATTAGTTACAGACCAAGAGACTTTCCCTTCCTGGGTGAGACTTTCTGCTGCAGCTTCTTGGCAAGCCCCCCCACACCACCCTGTTCCTGGAGGGTGAGCGCAGCACCTCGGAGGCATGGCACCCCTCAGCAAGAGGTGGCTTAGAGTCCCCTTTCCAAGAAAGCAAGGGAATATTAGAAAAAAAAAATTAAAAATGGCAACAGCTCATGGGAAGATAGATACACAGAAGGCAATTCTTGTCCACCTGGAGCACTTTCCTGTTCAAAGCCTGGTGATCTCTCTCTCCAGTGCAGGGCTTTTGGCTGGCTGGCAAACATGCCAGAAGAGCCAGCGAAGGATCAAACTTCTGATCAGCTGCCACCCCCAGCCTGATGTCAGGTGTAATTCTTTTTCCAGAGGTGACTAGGAGAAAAGAGCACTGCTAAGCCAGCCCACCAGCCTTGTTCTACCCAGTGCCAATCACTCTGTTCGGTTTGTGAGTGACAAGCAGAAAGCAGAAGGAAAGTCAGTGTATATAATTCTAATTTCATGGAAGTTAAATATAATAATAATGAAAAATCCATGCGACCCACAACAGCCTCCACTAAGAGAAAGCAAATGTTGCAAGAAGCCAGTGTGTCTGTGCTTGGGGCTGCTCCCAAAGCTTCCCTGAGCTCCCAGGACAGCTCCTGCAGGACCCGTCACAAAGGAGGGGCACCCTTCTGTGGGTAGCTTTACAAGTGTAGCTCTCATACCACTGGCATCTAGGAGTTACATTAGCAACAATGTCTGTCAAGGACTTTTTTTTATTTTAAAATATTTTTAAAAATCTATTTTTAAAAATGATTAATACACTTTCTTTCCCTGGCAGAGGAACATGGAGCACAGCCTGACTACAGAGCCTGGCCAAGTCCACTCTGCCTGGCACCATCTCATTTGTTTACATCATCATGGCTGAGTGTCTGGCAGCAAACTATCCCAGTGGGGAACTCTGAAGCATCTACACTGTGGACAAACAGAGCTTGCTTCCTATCAAGCTCAGCAGCCCTCCTGTGCCTCCCCACTACAGCAGCATTTATCAGGACAACAACACTGCGCGGCTGATTGCTAGAGGGAAGGCTTTGAGAAGTTAGCTTTTATACAATGGGCTCACAAATTCTAAAAACTGTTTTCATCTGCAGGGGGTAAACAAATGTTATTTTGGGAAGAAAACACTGAAAACTTTTCAGGAATAAAGTGTATTGTGTAAATGCAAAAGGCTTCTGAGCAATAAGGCAAGGTGCTGCCTGGAGGACAGCTCCACATGAACAGTGAGTGGGAGCTGCTGAGTGTGCAAACAGAGGTGGGCATGTTGGTGCTATTGCTTTTGGGGGCTGCCAAGGGAGGTGCAGCATTGTGCACTGTTAGGAATTACCAGAGTGCCATTTCTCCAGCCGTGTGAGGATGTAAGCTGTAACATCCTTACGTGTGACTCCAAGTGGCTCGGACACACAGTACAGTGACAACCACCAAGTGTGACAGCTCTGCGTATTTGTTACAACAGCACAAGATCCAGATCACTGGGAGGTCACTCTGCAAAATCCCTTCTGGGAAATGACTCCTGATACTTAGCCAAAAACTTTGTCAATCATTATCTTAGGTCACCTAGCTACCTTTTTGTCAGACCACCCCTTGTGTTCTCTCCTTTTCATCAGCACTTGCAGCCTTCAAACACTTGCAGAGCTACCTCCTTGCTGCACAGCCCAGAGCCTGAGGCACGCTTTGGAACAGTTGAGTCTACAACCCTGAACATCAGAAGGCTGAACTCTGTCAATCACCATCTTTGCAATTGCAGTCCTTAAGAGGGAAAAAACAAAATCAGAGCCCCCCTTCAGAACAGCAGACTTTTAAACTGCAAAAGGCTGGACTCACGGAAAGAATAATGAACAGATCATATTTTGTTAGCAGAATTTTAATCCTGAAATCAGACAAGATCAGGGACTATTCTGCATGGAGAGCTGACAGATCTTCAGCTTGCTCTCTGCCCTGGCACAAGGCGCCAGTTAGTGCCCACTGTGAGGTTTTTCTCCTAAAAGACCATTGCTCCCTTGTCTTGCACAGGAAATTTAGGGAAGTGGCATGGACTAGTGTGAAAAAACAGAAAGCAGACAGAAGACCTCAAGCTAATCCTGGCTCTGCTGCTGACAGGCAGCAGGATTACTTTGCTTGCCAAGCCCACCTTGGGCTATGAAGTGCTTTCTTAAGATAGTAGATGATGTTTGGAGCTTTGTATAGAAAGATGTTTCTTCTTCTTGGTACAAATTTTAGTGGAATGAACCCCTCATTTGAGCAAGGGAGCAGGCTGGGCAGTTCCAGGTTCTGCTCTTGAGGCCCCTGACGTGAGGTCAGCCAAGCTGGGGCACTTCCTACATGGCCAGTGGAGCTACTTGGTACGCAGAAAGGGACCCAAAGCAGTCTCCCACCTACGCCTCCTGCTCCACTCAATGTGCCACAACTCCAAACATCTCTACTGAACACTGTGATCCTGCCTTCTGGAAAAAACTCCTCACATTCGTCCCTGGCTAGTACTGATGTGGCTTAAAAAGCAGGAGACCTGCAGCAGTAGTCTCCCAGCCACTCCCATGTGACGACAGGCTCCAGTTACCCTAGACTCCAGATGTGGCTTTGCGATCCCATTTCTCAACTCTAACACTTAGATAACATTGAGCACTTACAATTCCCCTGTGGGACAGCCACTTGTTATCCTTACCAGTCACCAGTTTGCAAGATCCCTAAGGCCATCAAAAGGATTGAAGCAGAGAATGAAAAATGGAAAAAAGGGTATGAATTTAAGATTCAGAGGCTATCTGATACCCTGTAAATAACAAGTCTGATTCTGTGAAACCACGGGCTGACATCATGTTATATATCAATGCCTATTCAGAAAAGGCTGTCTGCTTTGCAGTAAAAATGTGTGTTGAGAGGGGAAAAAAAAACTCCAAACCAGCAAGGATGAAAGAAAGAAGAATGAAAACAGTTGCAGATACAAAGCAGAGAAAATGATTTATAAGTGCTTGTGCATTTTCTGCTTTGTCAAGACTGATCTTTTCAGGTATCCCTTCTTTGTCTCATGTGTGTATTTCAAAGACAGAAAAGGTTTGGCTGGAAGGAAGCCAGTATCCAGCCTCAGGCAATGGTTAGTGAATCCATTTGGAGCAGCACACTTATCTTTGACAGACAGAGATTTCCAGGAGTCAGATATATTGGCAGCTGTCAGAATGGAACTGAGCCTATCCACCAACAGGCACAGAGACACTGCACAAAGTCTCCAGACTCATGTTTTCTTGCAACCAGGTCTGAGGGTTCATGTATGTCATATAATTATCCTTTGCTCCCTCTCAGGCACGCAGAGTTTATCTCCATGCCATTTATGTCAGCGTGGTACCAAGAAAGGCCGGGGCGGGCAGGCAGGCAAACTGACACAGCCCTGCACAAAAGGCAAAGTGCTGTTTCCAAGGAAGAATCATCACCCCCCTGCATTCAGTTAACTCGCTAAGACCTACTTCAGCTGCAAGACCTGTTGTACCGAGCCATCTGTTCACGCAGGCCGGGCAGACTGGTGCCATATCTAGAGGCTGACTTGCTCTGAGGGTGAAAGCCACGGGAGGAAGCACCCCAGCACTCGGTGCAAAGCCAGCTGGGGGAGCTGCCTCTCCTCCCCTACCTGAACCCCTGCGGACAGACGCAGGTGTAGCCGTTGACTGCATCCACACAGGCAGCTCCATGGTGGCACTTATGGCCCACACAGTCATCCTCATCTGTTTCACAGTGCTTCCCACTGTATCCCGGCAAGCACTCGCATCTGAAACAGAAGAGATTGCTGTTAATAGCTTGTTTCAACATCCCCAACAGCAGCAGGCACAGGCAGCCCAGCTCCACTCTGCTCCGAGACGAAAAGGTGGCAGCAATGCTTCCTGGGAACGTCAAGTGCAATTCCCACCACCAGCAATGCCCAGGTCCCTCCCGGCTGCCTGCAGCTGAGGTTCTGCCATCTGCTCACACTGAAGTCAGGCAAAGCAATGCCACATGACTGCTTCTCCCCAGCCAAGGCTGTGGAGCGGGGTAATCATATGGCTGTCTCCCAGTCATGCTGAAGATGACAGCATCCCCCCTGACCCTGCAGCCTCAAAGGGCAATATTGTGCAAGGGCAGTTGCTCTGATGTCTCGGGTGATGATTTTGCCAAGGTCTGCAGGCTGCCCAGCGCCTGAGATCGGGCTGTGCAGCTACACAGAGCACAGTAAGGTTCCACCTTCCAAATGGAAGCTTTCTGCACACAAGCCATAAAACTCATCAAATTTAAAGAAAAAGACCATCGGTTTTGAGATCACCACCTGTTTGCCATTCATTTCTGAGGCACAGCAAATGTTGCACAACAGATGTTGCTGCAACTATGGAAAGCTGTCTGTGGAGTCTGTTGTTTCTGGTGCTGACACTCTATGGGGTGACCCTCTTGCTATGGGGTAACACCACTCACAGGAGCAACACAGTTGGTAGGATGCTCCCAAAGCTGCAGGCATTGGCTTTTGATTTACACAATTCTCAAGTCTGTTGTATGAAGGCTGTGTCAGCATTTCTATTATAAGCCTTGCAGAAGTTTATAACCTGACAACAGAAAATATTTCCCAAAGTCTCTGACTTGGAACAGATCTTTTGGGATCGCTGAACAGCCTTATTTCGAATCTATAGTGTAGACAATGTTTAGTCATGAACACACTTTAGTCCATAAAAGACGTTTTACTGCACATCTGGAAACCAAGAGGCGTATCACCTCAACCAAAACAAGGGAAGAGCTGCAGTTTACTTCAGCAATAAAAAGAGATCTGTACTCTTGCTAGAGGCCCTTGTTTGGACCCAGCATGCTTGCCACAGAGCTGGAAGAGGAGAGACATTACAGAGTTGAAGGAGGCAGCATCAGGAGAAAAACTACTGCCCCACTAACCTATCCTGCTGGCCTCCTCCTCCCTGTCAGCAGCCTGGTGGGGGAAGTGCAGGAGGAGGCTCCTTGTGGAAAACCTCTTCAGAGAGACTGGACACGTGGGAGCTGGTGAGGGAAGACTTTTCCACTTCCCATGCAGCAGTCATTGTGCTGAATGTGGTTCTGAGTGACAGTGTGCTTTGGCTCCTGGCCACTCCCCAGCTTGTCAGGGCAAGGCAGTGAGTTGGGTGAAGCTTGCTGGAGTGCAGCAGCAGGTCCTGTGTGTGCTAATGACCAGTGAACGGCTGTCACAGCATCAGGGCTTCAGCAACCACCTAGCTCAAGCACTGAGAGAAGTAGGACCTTCAGTCTCCATTTCAAAATATGACTTGTGACTGGCTAAGAAAGAGGAAATAGGGCAAAGCCTCTGAACCTGTGGGCTGTAGGACGGATAACGTTACATGGATGTATATACTTTCTCTCTCCATCCTCCCTACAGGAGGGGGCCCCATCATGACCCTCTGCAGCCACCAGATGGTTGATGTTCCAGCTCTGCATGCCTGAATTGCTTTTTTGCACCTTGGTGGCTCAGAGAATACTGTGATTAACATAACGGAGATGACAAAACAGAGCAGAAAGCAAAAAGTGTTCTTTCCCCAACCCATAAGAAGCAGGCAATATTTTTTGGCAACATCTTAGTCACACCTGCAAGCAAATAATGTCAATCAAAGGACTTTGTGGGGGAAATTGGCAGCATTTAATCCTGTTGCTTTTTATTGATCCCTACAGTCGTAATATAAAGTGATGTAATAATGAACGATGTGCAGTTCCTTATTCAGGGCTGCCATGCATCAATTTTATGATGTGTATTGGCTATCTCAGTAATGACAGAACCACCACTTTTCTCTGCAGGGCTGCATTAAATCAGCATTTTAAGCTGTCAGGTAATAACTCCAAGCTTCAGAATAATAAAGTATATTTATACCATACTCCAACATCAATACAGTAAATGGAAAACATGCTCCTTTCCTGAAGTTATTTTTTTAGAAGTAATTTCATTGTGTTAAATGGTATTTTTTTATTGATTTTTGTTTTGGTTTGTTTTTTTTGGCATATAGAAAGCTACTCTTCTTCTGTAGTAACAGCACAATAAAAATGTGGAGGCTGGAAGAGAGGAAAGCCACCTGAAATTTTAGCTTCAAAAGCAAATAGCTCTGTGCAGCCAAACACACACTGAAATAGTCCAGTTTGCTTCCAAGCTTGGCTTTCCCTTTAGAAACATGGAATTCCTTTTGGGTCAGTCATCTCTGAGCTCTTAACATGTCACATCTAGGCAAAAGCTACCAAAAAAAACGTGCCTGGAGCCGGTGAGAAGCTCGGCCAGATGAATGTCTCACCCAGCCTCCTCCTAGAAACCCCAGGTCTTCCCACCAGGGAATGATGCCGTGTTAGCTCCATCCCTATCCCACACACTGCCAGCAAGTGGCAGAGTATCAATAAAAGCATGTGAATAAAATAAAAAGTGAAGAGAGCAGCAAAGAAACTTTGATATTCAAATCCTGGTAAGAGAGTAATTTACATGATTAGATCAGTTATCTCATTTCCCAGTGACTATCTGATACCAGTAGAGTTGAAATCTTGTTTTCTGGTGCAGTCTTGTAGTGATGGCAGCATTCCCAGTATCAAAGAGAGCCTACAAACTTGTCTAATGGTATCTAAAATGTTGGCTTATCCACGGGGATTTGTATCTGCATGCACTCAATGTCTATTGTATTAAAGCCGTGAATCATGGCTTCTATTGCAGAGCCAGGATGGAATTTCTGTCCCCATATCAATAAATAATTTGGCTTCCTACTTTTCCCCCCATCTTTGTCATCTTTTCCTCCCTGTGCAGAGTTTCAGACCCACTGGAGCTGAAGGCAGGATGGACAGACTGCCTGGTTCCCTCCTGCTGTGCAGTTCTTCACTGCTGAGTCCTACTCGCATGCCCAGGGCACAAACCTGACAGGTGGATTCAGCCCATTTCAGAGTGACTTGGTGCAGCTAAAGTATGGAAGAAAAAGCAACACTTGGACAAATCTACATTCAAGGCTGGGCTCCTTCTCCTCTCAAGTCTGGCTAGCAAATAAAAGGGGACAAAAGTAGTAAATTCTGGATTTTTGTGTAGCATTCAATTAATAGTGGGAGGAATAACACAAGAAACAGCAGTAAAAAATAGAAGCAGTTATTTAGGCTCCATCAAGCATTAATAGTCCCACTGAGAAGAACACTTTTCTAGCAAGCAAGCACGCAAATGTTTCTTGTTTACTCAAATTATTTGGGTGGCAATTATGAAAATGCTTCCAGCAAGGGTAAAACCATCTAGGACCACAGCTGTCCCCATCCCTTCACACCTCTAGCAACACAAGGTAATTTGAATGACACGATCTTGCCTCGTAACATGATGTAGCTACTGGATTAGCTGAATGATGGATTAACTAGGAACGAAAGCTGGAAAGAACATCAGGGACTATTTCTGTACCAGTCATACTTCCTTATCCAGTCCCTGTGCATCATTTCAGGAGCTGCCCTAATCATGTAATAGTTTCATCTTCCTCAAGAGCTGGAAATATTTCTGTCTGGAGGTTTTTGACCCAAAAGAAAGGCTTGGGTTGTACAGAATGATGGTCCAGCATGGATTTAGCTGCCCTCAAGATTTTGGTTCACTTCCTTTTAACTACCCTGCATGTTCTGTGTATAACTATTCCGACATGCTGGTTGCTTCACAGGACACAGTCTGACCCCGACTGCAAGTCACCAGGAAGACTAAAGAGTGCTGCTGTCTCTCCCCTGTGACACACTGGGTGTGCTGGGTGAAGGTATCCCTGGCCAAACCCCCAGTGCTCCCTCCCAGGAGCACCCAGGAGAGCACCCAGGACTGCACCACAGCTGTGAAAGCAGCCTCAGGGGGAAGAGCAGAATGCAGTTCACACTGCACTGAACTCTCTGCAATTTGTCTTCCTCTCCTACTTCTTTGATTCAAAGATCTTTTCTTGACGGGCTTTCCACAGCGTCAGACTTTTCAACTGTCTCTATTTGCTAAATTGCTCTGAAATTCCCTCTTCAGACAAGTGGGGAACACTGCTACTATGCCCCTCTCAAAACACCCCAGCCCCCAAACCTCCAGATGTTTTACTGCCATTTAAAACGCAAAGCTTTATTTTGCCCCTGTGAAACAATCCCAAGAGGCAAATGCCAAGACACACCTCACAAACCCCCCAAGGAGCCAGCGAGGCCTCTGCAGCCATGGGAAGGTGGCAGGTCCCCCGTGCGAGGTGCAGCTGGGGAGATGTGGGGAGAGGAGCCCCGCTGCCGCCGCACCCCAAGGCCCCCGGCCAGCCCAGTGGACAACAGCCGCAGTGGGAACACAACAGAAACCTGCCCCGCAGCTTTATGCCCTGGCCACACCTTTATCTTTCCCCTCTCAATAGTTGGAACAGGGACAGGATTTTAAACCCAGAGCCAGCTGAGGAGAGAAGAGTTGCATCAAGGAACACATGAGGAAACTGTCCTCAGTTTCTGAGGCAGGATAAGACATTTTGCAGTAACTGTTCCAGAAGTACTCCTTTTGCCATGCTCTGTTCCAGAATTATTTCTCTGCTCTGGGGGTACATCATTTATTTTCAAGTAAGCCACAGAAAGCTAAGGAAGTATATATGGTTGCATTAAAATTAAAAGGTGACATGTCTGAGGTGTATATAGCCTTGCACTACTTGCATTAATTTTGACAATTTTTACCTTACCTCAAACTCATTGCCAGTTCAGCCCTAGTCAAGACAACGGATGGATCTGCCTAGTGTGTGGAGACAAACATACACACATGCTTACCTGGTTCCTTTGTCAAGGGGAAGACATTTGGACTCATGTTGGCATGGATTTAGATCAGGAACACAGTGGTTAATCACCTCATCACACAGTTCACCTGAGAAAAAAGAAAAGCAATAAAGCTATGACACAGCTTGGATGATCCTGAAGCAGCTCCAGCCATGATGTTGGGATGGCAAGTCTCCCTAGACAGAGATAGCTCAGTAATTCTACAGGAAGAGACAATTTGGTTGTGAGGGCATGTGAGACTTCATTAAACTGGGCTCCTTTGACCTACACTGTACTGGTTCTACCACGTGAATTTGAAAGGCTGGTATAAAAAGTACTGACATATAAACTCCACTTGGAGACAGACTAAAGATCAAATGGGCAGTTCCTGACCCAGAACCTCTCATACCAAAGCAAGGAAGTGACACAAAAGCAAAATTGCTCATTAGGCTGTTACCTTTTCACACTAACATATTTCAGCTGTAGTTAATAGTCTGCCAAAGAAGCTGATTGGACATCATTCTGGAAAAGAACAACAACCCACAAGCCCCCCTCCACAAAACCTCTGTGACTCTCAATAATAGGAACCAGCTTTAGGACTGCATGCAATTATAAAACATTCACTATTTATAAGAAAAGTGCCAGGTCTATTGTGCTCACAGGAGACGATGACTTTTCAAAAAAAAAAAAAAAAAAAATCCCATGTAAGCTCAGCTCAGCTGTTTCTAGGTAGGGTGTGTTACATGCCATGCACCTCCCTGGGTTTGTATAAATGTTAATGATTAATAGTTGCAGAATGTTCAAACCCAGATAGTTTATTTAAATACCACCCTTCTCTTGAGTCCTAAATTATTAGGTCACACTTCAGTACCCCAGGATTTGAGATCCAGCCAAAGACCACAGAAACCTTTGCCTTCCCAAGAAACCAACAGAAACCTAGCCCACACCTCCCAAAGCCTTGCAGGAAAAGCAAAGGTCAGGTACTCTCAACATGGAACCCCCCCAGAGCTACAGCCCCGGAGTCCCCAGTGCAGCTATATCAGAAGAGCACATCTGCAGGGTTTCAAGGTTATGCACATTTTGTGTGCCTGCACACAATACATACCGTCGTATGAGCAACAGGCCCTGAGGACGGTGTGGGAAAAAGGCTAATGTGGGAGGCACCGATGAGCTGGCAATGTTTTAGCAGCATATCTATGAAGCTGCAGCTCCACCTGTCTTGGGAGTAACTCCACTTTCAAACCCCCTTGCAGTTCTAACTCCAGTGGTTACAGGGAAACACTTGAAGATGCAAGCCAAGCAAACCACAGAGATCAAAATTCGGATAGAAAATGCATATCAGAACTGTCTGACTTTTATCAGTCTTGTGATCTGGCAGGGATGACTGAGAGCAAAATTTTGAGATGACTCTGATGGTGACAGGTATAGTTTAAGCTGGTAACACCCTCAGCTCACTCCTTCAGGTTGTTTCACCCACATCTCCAGCCTCCCTACAGTACAAGCTACATACCTCTTTATTTGACTCTTCATATTAGAATGGAAGTATAGTATGCACTTCCAAAAATGACTCAGTTGTTTTTGTTTGTTTGAAATGTGGAACATCCGATACATTTGCTTTTGAGAGTTGCCAAGGAGAAGTGAGAAAGTAGAGCAAGAATATAATACTGGGTGCACGGGAGAGGGTACTACCACGTAAACCCTGGATTCATGTGCCAGACCTACCCTCATGACTTTTGGTGGGCTGGGTTTGGCAGTATCGGCAAGTCTGGCACCACAATCCACAGTGGACAGTTCATTGTTCCTAGTATCAATTTTAAGACAACCAATTCCATCTGGAGCCAAGGAATCCCAGGAAGCCACTGGTATTAAATACTACCAAATCTTTTTACAGCCTAGGACAAATCTTGGGCAAATAGATTGAGCGTATCCAGCTCAGGAAGGGGGACTTGCCAAATGGCACAAATCCATGGGAACCAAAGAAACAGATCACTCACTGGACTTGAGGTTTGCCATTGTACTTTGTTACTCCTCAAAAGCAACTACAGACATTCAAGTCTTACACACATGAACACGGCTGTCCTTGGGGACAGCTATTAACACATTTTTGAGGTGGCAGAACTGGAGATAGGTCTGCTTGCCAAGCAAGCCCCAAATTCACAGCCCACCAACCCTCCCAAAGACCAAAAAGCAAAGCTACTCCCTTGGTCTTTGGGTAGACATGAATATGAGCAGGTTAGAACTTGCTATGATGCCTGGAGAACTGCTAGTTCATGGTCTTGGTATCCCTCGTGTCCCCTGTGTGCTACAAATCTTATGTAAAAATAAACATGAAAAAAAGTAAATGACTGGTGACATTAAAAGAACTCAATGATCTAAAGCTGGAAATAATTTTGGAAGACCATTTAATAACTACAGTGTGGATAGATGCCTTCAACTATCTTTTCACTAAAAATGGTCAATACATACTTTTGAAGTTTCCATTTCTTTTGTTTTGAAGAAAAGGAAAGAGACTTTTAAAAAAGTAAGAACAGTTTCATGAACTCTCAAAGGAAATTATAATTCTTCTTAAAGTATTCTTCTCAAGTCTTGACAAGTGCTTAGAGATCCAGTAAAAATCTCCCCAAATGTCAAATATTATGACTCACTGTGTCATTCTGAAGGCACCACTATCAAAACGTAGAATTCTAGGCTAGGTACCAAACATAGCATCCAAAAAAATTTATCATTTTTCATGCAAAACTTGGAACATTTCAGGATCCTTCCTGTTCTTTTTCCCATCTATCACTCATTAGGGAGCTCACTTGGGAATGCCTTGCAACTAGAACAGCCTCATCTCAGGAAGAAAATTCCTCTTGATGCATTATTCCAGGCTCCACCAATGTTCACTAGATGCAGCAGAAAGCCTGCCAAGGAAATAAAACACTTTCTGAAAAGAAAACCCAAGGCACCAGCTACACAAAGACCTTCTCATATTCTCTTCACTCAGAAATTATCTGGGCCAAGAAATTTGCCCTCAGACCTGCGAGTGCAAGATTCATTGGCCGCTTTAATGTCGCTATCAGAGGAAAAATCTGATCCTCTTTTTTTGGAGTGACACAGGGCTGCTTCTCTGTGCAGCAATTAAAGGCCTAGTCCAAATTTCTCATTAGATAGCTATGTGAACCTAAAACCAAACTGGACATTTATCTTAGGCCAAATTCTAGCTGCACTGATTTCTTTGTGAATACATTTTATCATGCTAAAACAACAGAAAACTTCAGTGTAATGCTTTCCCAAGCGTAGAACACAACGCAACCTCCCCATTTCCCCCTCTCCTCTGGATCCTCACATTAGCGCTACAATTTGGGCACACAAGGGTTTCTGAAATGCTTATATAAAAGACAGAAACATGAGAACTATATTTATTTTCTAATCAGTTAAGCATTTTTTAACCCCAAATAATTTTTTTTTTTGTACTCATGTACTCTTTTTCATCAAAGCTGAAGGGGATAGATCACCATGCAATGCACCCCAATGAAGGAGATTCAGGCTGTTTCAGATTTACAAGAGGAAACCCACTTAATGCCATCAGATTCTACTTTTCATAGTATCCAGAAGTATTAGGTCAGTATTGTTCTGTGGTCTGTAGAAGTGAGGTGTGATATGAAGAGGGAACCTGTAGAAAGATACATTCTCAGCTGTGTGAGCTGCGTTTCAAACTTCTTAAGGCTGGTGGTAGTATGCTGGTAATTAGTGTTCATTTAAGGGAAGGAAGCATTAGACAGATGAAGGAAGCAGTTTGATCAGCCACAAAAAAAAAGTGCTGCTTTCGGATTAGAACCAAGTGGCACTTAGAGGTGGAACGCTAACTGATGAGTTTCCCATTGCTGCTGTTTCATACATTAAAAAAACAAATCAAGCAAACCAACAAACCACAGAAAAGATATTCTGCCCCTCTGAAACTACATCCCCTGTCCCTTTCATCCAGAACTGTTAGTTGCTTTAAAAAAAAAAATATATTTTTTTTGTCTCATGCAACATTTTCCTCATCTTATTTTGCAGCAAAATCATGAATTTCATGTGGGGCTTTCCACATTCACTTTTCACAGGGCTCACTGCTTATGAAGAGCTGCCAAGAAAAATGCTTAGGCTTTCCTGTAGCCTTCCACGCATCTCAGAACAAAGCCAAAACAACAACAGAGCAATAAAAATGACTTTTACACACAGTTTAATAATAATCTTTCTTTTTTTCCATTCTGTGCTGTCATTAAAGCTATTTATTTCATGCCACATTAGACTTTTAGAACCAAGGATCCAAGCTGCATTATTTCTTCTTAATCACTAAAAGAGAGATTGGATGCAGTAATAGTATTTTACTTATTTATCTGTAAGTAAAACTGCAGTTCTGAAAGACAATCTAGACCACCAGTTTGCAGTCAGTGAGTTTGATGATTTTTCTTTTGTTTCATATGCCAGTTGGGTGATGCTTTGTTCTCTCATGCAGAGAAAATATTCCTGAAATAATTGGTAAGGCAACATAGAAAACAGTCTCATCCTTAATGTGAGAGAAGCTTTTGTAGGGCTTGGAAGACTAAAAATGCTGTGAAGAATTTCACAACATTACTTGGGAAAAGGGAAGTGGTTACAGTAAAGAAAGGAGGAAGAAAGCCTGGCCTTTACCCACACAGAAAACATTTACAGGCTGCACAGGGAGAAGAGAAGTATTTGAGCAGATAAACAGTATGTTGCAATTTTCTGAAGTTTGCCAGGTAAGTCAGAATGGAAATCTTCTCTTTACTGCTAATAAAAAAGACTATACTGTTTTTCTCACAAGAGATTACTCATTTTGTATCTAATAACCTCTATCAGAAGAAGCTTGTTTGGAAAAAAAAAATAAATCTTGTTTTGCCTTTTCTCTTTCCAGTTATTAATAAAGAAGTCAGTATCAATTGAAAATTTCAGGAGAACCTAACAAAGTTTGGGTGGAACAGACACAGGCTGTTCTTCCAAGAAAATAATTCAGTTAGGAATGCTGATGTTTGCTGAAAAAGATTTGAGGCTCATCTTAGAAAATAAAAAAAAAAATAATTTTTTGCTTCCAAACTGTTTCAACTTGCAAGGAAGAAAAGA